TTTATTAAGAGTAAGAGAAGAAAGAAGGATGTATTTTGAACACGTCAAATCCTGCGTCCCTATTCAGAAACAGGCTATTTAAAAACAAACACACAAGCAAACAAACAAAGAGAAAAACCCTGGAACTGGATATCCTATTCCTTGGTCTCTCTAAAAAGAAACAGGTCTGGAAGTTTGTTAGCCCAGTGCAGCAATAATTTTCTTTAAAAACAGGCCTTTTTGTTTTGTTTTGTTTTGTTTTTTTTCATAAGCAGTCACACAGCTTTGTGAGACTACACTCAACAGTAAATTTAATAGCAGTATTGGTAGAAATCATGTTATGCAATGTCTTGCAGGAGTGACTTCTTTAATTTTTCATTTATTATTTTTGCGAGTGGAATAACTGCTTTGTATTTCTTTCCCCAAATAAAATACTTATTAGTAAATATTGCGCTGCACAGATTAACGCTGTTTGATTTCTTTCTGGGCATCCTCCTTTTTTCAGCATTAATGCTTAGACTCACAGCAAACACTCTCAGAAGTTTCCATTGCTCATTTGGAGAAATACTTGCCTTTGGGCAGAAGACATGAAAGCCCAAGAGCTACACAAGAGACTGAGTTTATAGGAAGTCTTTGTTTTAAACCAGCGCTAAAAGGGGAACTGCACTGATAGCTGCTGTCCTTCAGGTGAGAGAGGAAAAATCCCACCTCTGTTGGGTCTTCAAATCTGGCAGAAATAATCCCAGGAGAATTCCCTGACGAAATGAGATTACCTGTTACTGTGGCTTAGTTGAAATTTTATAATCTTGTCTTGAGTAAATAGCAGCTTGTCTTGGCGTGTTCCCAAGAGCAGGACAAGGAGACAGGAACTCCTTCCCTGCTTAATCGTGGGTCAGCAAAATAACCTGGGCTGCCAGTCAGAAGGATCTTGGGATCAAGCTGTTGTCCTCCAAACCCAATGTCACTAACTAATCTCTTGCTGTCTGTAATGTATCAATGACTGTGTGCTGGGGTATTTTTTTATTCCTGGCTTTCTCCATCCTCCTGCTGTTTATCTATGACGAGCTTCAGCCAAGCTAACCAAAGCCCCGGTGTTTCAGGGATTAATTCCCAGAAAAAGCTCAGGGAGGAACTATCAAGCGGGAACTGATTAAATGCGTCTGAACTCAGCCCTGTGATACTCCCGGTTGGGTGAGAAAGACAGCAGGCTTTTCTGAAGTAAGGCTAAGATGAGGGGTTCCGGTCAAAACCTACAGCCATGCTTGATATTTTAAGTGATTTTTTTTGCTACTTTAGCCTTTGTCCAGCTGCAAGCGGTGAAAGGCAGCTACAAGCTGTTGTTAATAAGTAATGATTTGGCTCTGACTTTAAATCCTTTTAGTGAAATCCTGCAGGAGGTTTGTGATTTTGTAACCTAACTTGAGCCTCTGGGAAGTTTTCTCTGTTCTCTTTCCACCTGTATACCATGAATGCATCTTCATTAGTCTGTGCGTGTATAGATGTTGTATCTAACATTCGTAAGTGCTGGCAGGAATGGAAAATATTTAGCAAGAGGAATTTTACTTCTCTGTTTGCTTACGGTTTGTTCTTGAACCGTCAAACATATCTTTCAATAAAAATAACTAATGTGTTTATTTTAACCAGAGCTGGGTAAGTAATTTGCATTAAAGAAATTACTCTATTCATCTTTTTTAGATCCGGCACAAGTTGTGATTTTCTCATTTGTACTTACTGTTCAAAAAGATTTACTGAATATTTTTTATGAATGAATTTGTTGGCAAGTCATCCACAAACAGTTTGGTGTGAGTATTAATTTAAACAATTGATTCTAAAGGATTTCAATGTCCAAATATCTTTGATGACTTTGAAAATCTCAAGCTAATTAGTCAAAATCTGAGCTGTTTCTTTTCAACAGGCAAGTTGCCATCTTGCAAGACAACAGCAACTTTAGGGATGTTTTTTCTGTATTGTCTTGCTATTATAAATTGGAGTTGTGTTCTTCCGCAGTATTCTGTATTATTCAGTGGTGCCACTAAAGTTAGTGGGAAATATGTTAGAATTTGTAATGGGACTAGGGTTTTATCCCCTGTTTCAGCAAACACACAACTCATCCAATTCCCTCACTAGTGCGCTGGAGGAAGGGGAACAATGGGGCACCAACACAGAGTTTTAGTGTTAAAATGTCAAAAGTAAATACTCAAAAATATTTGGCAATATCACCCAGCTCTAATTTGCACATTTTAAAGGTTGATCTTTCATGTGTCCTCAAGTTCCTTGTTCGCCTGAGTCCCTGGTTAAAGAGCATGGAAAGTCAGAGTATATCTTATGTCATCACTATTTGTGTTAATGGCTTAGGAAACCCACAATCCAATCAGTTAAAATAAACAACCCAGTGTAATAGGAGCATAAATCAATGAAGACTTCATTACTGAAACCTTAATGTGTAATCCATCCACCTACAGAGGAAAGAGATACTGAGAGGCAGCAAGACAAAACCAGAGGACAGTCTGATTTAGGCAACCCTGATATTTAAAAAGATGCTGAGAACAGTAACTCTCCCTGGAGTCAGTAAATTCGGTGGATACTCATCACTCCTGACAGCCAGCCCCTGACTATTAAGTCCCTATGCTAAAAAATGCCAAGAAACTCTTGGGAAGAGAGCTCTGATTGCTCTTTTTTTGCTCTGGGAGACTTGAGACAGCTCAGGACTGTGGACTAATGAACAAAGACATGAATTAGCAAGATTGACATATGACTAAAACTATATGTGTTACCTAGAAGTAACGGTATTCAGAACTGCTCTTACCCTGCTGCAGACTTCCCTCTCTGTGTGGTCCTTTGAGCCAGTAACATGAATTTGGAGCCCTTCTCTAAGATGAGGGTGGCAATACTTGGTGAACCGAGAGTTACTCGTTTTAAAGTAACATATTAAAGCCACGTATTCTGTTTGTCTTGGCTCTGAAAGAAGCAGTAATCCTATCATACCGAGCCTTTTGATTTCAACACGGTTCATAAAAGGGCTGAACTTTTATGTTCAGTGCAGAGATGCCTGCTTGTTGAGTTAATGTAGTAATGAATAGAAACAGCAGGCTCTCACTGTGGGCGTGGACCAGCTCTGGGATGGGGATGAGACATGCACTTTTCCTGTGGATTTTAGCTAACAACAAAGGTAAGGTGAGTCTTTAGAAAGGCGGCAGTGCTCACAGACCGTCCTCCCCTGAGTCCCCCGTTTCAGAAGTGATTCTCTGCCTGTTTGCTCCAATCTCTCATCCTCACCTGACTCCTCTTTCTTTCTTCCCCTTCCCCTGACCACATCTTGTTCTTTTGTCTCACTCGTCCCTGTTGCTCACTTATGCCAGCATGAAATGTGTGTTGAGCAGTTAAAGTTTGGTAACACTGGTAATTGACCAAAACCAGTACGATGAGAATTCTGGTTTTCAGAGGTCTGGAGTTTGTTTTTGTTAATAATTATGATAAAAAAAGAGATCTAAGAATACATAATGTTAAGGATACAGAAGTTAGGAAACTTCAGCACTGACGTAGGTATTGCATGCAGAAGACAGCACATGTAATTTGCCAATACAGAAGGAGGTTTGGTTGAAGGGGGCCGCTGAGCATCCTGCAGGAGTTCTGTGACAGAGGTGGAAACCTGATTCTCCAGGCCGACAGTCACCTGCTCTGACCGTGAAGGCTGACCATTTTCCTGCTTCATTCCCATCGCTCACTCAATGCATACCCTCCCCAGCTATAACAAAGGAGGAGGAGGAGGTATGATGCGCAGCTCCCTAATTAGCTACACAATCCTCAGTAACATGTCAGCTTGTGCTGTGACTTTAGCAGGGATCCACTGGAAAAAAAAATGTCCATTTGTATTAATAGTCATTATTACAGATCTGAATTAGATTTCCCTAATAGTCTTTCTAGAGTTTCTTTTTGCTAGGTGTTACTTCTTACTTCCTTGTCTTAAATATTCAGTTGCATAATGTTAAGTATGTCAGGGAATGGTTGAATCAGTTTGGCTGGTAAAATGATCCCGTGTATCCAGAATACATACTAGTAGGTCAAGTTTCTGAAGCACTTCAACATTCAGGAATATAGGAACCATATATTTGTAAGATATTATCTTATTGTAATAATTTAACGGGAGATAAAGTGATTCTGTTATAGTTTATGTGATCCTGAGGTTCTTCAGGAACAAGGCTACACAAATGCAAATTTTCTATTATATTGGAAATTTGTATTGTGTTGTACTGTATCTGTACAGAAGAGATCTAGAACTTAACCCAAATCCCTCATACAGCAATACAGACTGGTGATTAATTCTTCCATCTCAGCAGTCAAATCTGGTTGTAGGAGGATTAAAGAAGGGGTCTAGTGTATCACATAGATAGATGGTAGATATTACGTGTTTCCTTCTCCTCAAATACAGTAGATCTTATTTCCTCTAGTGCAAAATTTAAAGTGAATCTAAAGCTGAATGTGTGATGTCAAGGTGTGGTCCTTACTTGGTCGTGATTAAAAATAAGTTTAGGGCATCTTTCTGCTCTCCAGATTCCAGGCACCCATGTGGTTGTAGCTGCAAAGCTGCAAAGACAGGGGAATTTTCTTGTAAATGAGATTACTATAATTTAAAGATATTCTTCTTCAACTGCCAGTAATAAGGGATGCTGTCATGGAAAACCACCCCACATTTAACATTTCTGTGTGATACAGAATTTCCTCAACTTTGAGGTAGCCAGACTGAACCAAAAAAGAGATGTAATTTAGAATTTAGATGTAAATTCTGCAGAAATGCTACTGTGTATTAAATATTGTGTAGTATGATCAGTATGTCTGTCAGAGGCTTTTAAAATGTGTTGTCAATATGGTTCCACATATTCACTGGCCAGATGCCACAAAAAGTATTCAGTATCCAAACAAGGATCTCGGTGCCTCTGCACTGCATGATGCACTGCAGCCCTGTGTAGCACGAAGTTCACTGTTCTGAATTGATCCCTAAATTTGGTGTGTTTCCATTTCAGAGCTCCTGTGACAAGGATGTCACCCTGAATATTCTCAGTGTCCTCACTGACTTGCTGTCTCTGGGTAAGGAAGCAAAGCTCTGGGGCAATGCCTGTGGGCTAGGGGCAGAAAGGGGGGTTCTCAAATAGGTCAGGGAATTCATACCTGCATAAACTTGGCCAGGTGTTTGCAAGGTGAACAAAACATGAATTGTATCTATAGATCAGCAGTTCTTACTCCTGTGTTTGGAAAACTGAGCTTTTTCGGTAAGTTAAAGAAAAAAAAAAACCAAAGAGAGAAAGTCTCAATTTTTTTTAGTTTAACAGATGCCTGTGAGTTTCAAAGTATTTCATAATCCCTGGCAGTTAACCACTGGAAATGTTCACCAGTGCCACTGGAGAGAGGGCTGTGAGACAGAGAGAGGAGCCTGACTTCCCAGAGCACAGGGACTCTATAATGGAGAGAGTTCAGCATCTGCCCAAAAGGCACCTCCACCTTGGCGTTGCAGGGAAGGCACGTTGCTGCATGTGCCTGAGCCACGTGAAAAAATAAGTGAATTGGCAAAAGAACTGAAAAAATAATTTTCTTTTCCTTCCTGCTCCACCTCAAAAATATCATTTGCTAAACAATTTTCAACCCAACCGAGCTGCTGGGCTGCGGGGGCTGCATCGGCAAGTGCTGGAGCCTCCTGCGTTCCCCACTCCTTGGAGCCCCACCGCAGACATTGCCTGTCCAGCTGGGCCTCTCCTTTGAAGCCCTGCAGTGCTGTTCCTCAGCTAGATGGAAGGATTGCCTACATGGAGGATAGGAGGTACTGGCTCCCCTCCAGGAGCTGAACGTGTGGCTTCCTCCAACCATGGAGCCTGAAGTTGCTGCCAAAGTTGCCCATGGATCAGTTTGTTGACACGGTAGGGCTCACAGGATTAGTGTGTGGTTTCTTTGGAGACCTAGATTTGTTTGAAAGCTGTCTCCAAAGCTTCCCTAGGATTCCTTTTCATTTGGCAGAAGCCCGTTGCAGCTCTAGTCCTTTGCTTGTTTAATTTCCAGTATCTAAGAAAAGATCACTGAGCCTTCTGCTCCTTTGAAACCTGTTGGCGTCTCTGCTTATTCCTCTCTGCCACATTTCAATGCACAATGAAAAAATTCTGCAGGATGTGGGTTTGTATAGATAACAACTGCCGGAGCAAGAGGCAGTTTTACCATGCAGCCATTAGCCACGTCTCCAGGCCAGGGGCACTTGAGATCCACGGTCAGTTCTGCAAATGCCCTTGGGTTCATAGCAATAAAACACTGTTGGAAGGCCATGGGAGCTTTGTGTACTCCATGCGGGGTGAGGGTTTGGATAGCTGTGGTTCAGGGAAGGGGTGCTCTGAGCAGAGTATCTCCTCTTTTCCCCAGGGACCGGCCGGCGAATTCACTATGTGATCAGCAAAGGGGGCAGTGAGACGCTGCTGCAGGCTCTTGCCGCCGCTGCCAGGACCGATCCGCCCGACCACAGCATCCTCCTGCCCCTGCTTCGCCTGCTGGCCAGGGTTGGCCAACGAGGTACTGCTGAGCGGTGGGGGACTTCTTGGGTGTGGGGCTCAAAACTAACGGACAGCCCCAGCAATAATCACCACTGGGATGTGCCTGATAGACAGCTGTGAGTTTATTTTTGGGGTGTGCCACTTGTCTGTGGTTTGGCCAGGTAGAGGTCCTGCAACAAGGCAGGGAAAGCGTACATGCGGATAGAGCTGCTTCTTACACAGGTTTCATCCATGTTCTGCCTTGGGTTGGCCTTGTGGCTGAAAGCCCCCCTAGCAGAATTATTTTTTCCTTAACCTAAACAAAATCTTAAAATATTATTTCTCTTTGTTGGCCCAATCCGCAGCGGAGTGGCAGATCTTGGCATACGGAGGGGTTTCCTGAGGCAGGAAAATGCCAGGGCAGCAGAGAGACCCACCAGGAGCCAGTAGCTCTCATGAGAGAGACTGGTGGAACCATGCTCTGTCCCCCCTGAGACAGAACCAGGAACATCCACCAGAAAAAAACCAAGATCAAGGGGATCCTGTATCCTCTCCCGCCAGGCTGAAGGCAGTAGCTTAAAGGAAAGGAGTGAATGGAGGCAAGTCCGTGCTTGGGGTGGCAGGTGAACCCCCTCCTTGCCCACCTTGCCTTCCCAGGTGCCTCTGTACAACAGGTATGAGGCTCTGGATGTGGAAGGCCACCAGAGGTGTTGCTGAAGTCAGAAAGGCCTACCCCCTGTATCACAACCACCTCCACAAGGAAGAAAAGACGACTCCCTTCTGAGGGGAACAGAGGATCCAATATGCCTGACAGACCCTCCTCTTAGGGAAGTTTGCTACCTCCCTGGGGCCCAGGTTAAGGACATCACTAGGAAACTTCCTAGCCTGGTGCAGCCCTCAGACTACTATACATTATTGCTTTTCCATGTGGGTGGCGATGAAGCCACAACGTGTAGTCCAGGGGCAATCAAAAGAGACTTCAGGGCTTTGGGGTGGTTGACAAGGGAATCCGGGGCACAGGTAATATTTTCCTCTATCCTTCCAGTTATGGGCAGCGATATTGGAAGAAACAGATGGACCCAGTCTATTAATGCATGGCTCTGTGGCTGGTGCCATCACCAGAATTTTGAGTTTTTCAATAATGCTATGGTCTACACAGCACCAGGCCTGCTGGTGTTGGATGGGGTTCATCTTTCTCAAAAGGGGAAGAGGGTCTTTGCTCATGAGCTACCAGGGCTGACTGACAGAGAATTAACCTAGTCTTGAAGGGGGAGGGGGATAATATCAGGCTAGCCCATGACAAGCCATGGGATGACACGCCGGGGTTAGAGGGACAGGATGCTAGCAAGCGCCTGTTGCTCTGAGATATGCTGGATACACTGGAGCACACTTGAAGTCTTACAGAGAGGAGCCAGGGGTTCCTGAGGTAATAGGACCCAACAAGGAAACACTGATGAAATACCTCAAAGGAATTAATGGGTGTTCCTCTAAAAAGGTGACACAGCCAACAGCCCATTTGAAGTGCCTCTACACCAGTGCACACAGCATGGGCAACAAACAGGAGGAGTTGGAAGCCACTGTGCTGTTAGAAAGCTACGACCTAGTTGCCATTACTAAAACTTGGTGGGATGAATCCCATGACTGGAGTGTGGCTATCGATGGCTACAAGCTGTTCAGAAGGGACAGGAGAGGAAGGAGGGGTGGAGAGGTTGCCCTCTATGTCAAGAAATGGATAGAGGGTGAAGAGCTGTCTCTGAAGTATAGCCACGAGCAGGTTGAAAGCTTATAGGTAAGAAACAGAGACTGAGGCAACAAAGGGATCCTTGTGGTTGGTGTCTCTTACAGGCTGCCTGATCAAGGGGAGCCTATTGATGAAGCCTTCTTACTCCAGCTACAGGAGGCATTGTGCTTGCAGGCTCTCATCCTGCTGGGGGACTTCAAC